TGTTTCAATCCGTAGAGTGCTTTTCGCAGCTTACACACATATTCAGGATGATCTTGGCTCTGAAAACCCATTGGTTAGGTCATGTAGACTCTCGATCTAGCTTTCCATGAAGAAAAGTATTCTTCACATCCATATGCCACAAATTACAGTCTTTGTTGGCTATAAGTGCAAGTAGGACTCGTACGGTTGTAAGTTTGGCCAGTTGACTAAATGTTTCATCATAGTCCAGTCCAAACTGTTAAGAGAAACCACGAGCTACCAATCATGCCTTGTACTCTCGATTGACCCATCTAGACGGCGCTTTATCTTGTAAACCCATTTGCAAGATATGGATTACACATCTTTTGTCTTTGGCACAAGATCCCAAGTTTGATTTTGCTGAAGTGAATCGATCTCTTTTTTCATAGCTGCCATCCACTTAGAACTCTACGTTGCTTCTTTGAACATCTCAAGCTTTGTTGCTTCTTCAATTATGGTTGCATTTGCATATTTGGGATTTGTCCTTCGTATTCTTGTTGACCTTTGGAGTTGAGATTGTGGAATTGATTCTTCTATTCACTAGGCCACCTTCTTCATTAGGTTGTTGATACACGCCAGTTTGTCAAGGATTCTGAGTCACTCTTTGTGCAATATCATCGTCGTTTGGATCTTCTGATTCATTTGAACTTGTTTGGAGTTGAACAATATGTTCCCCCATCTTTTATTAAAGCTTGTCTCCAAATTTTCTAAAGTCTGGAAACACCTCCTTCTTTGATGACCACCAAGAAGATGCTTCATCAAATACTACATTTCGTGACGTGTAGCATCTTCTAATCATTGGATTACAACATTTCTACTCCTTTCTCTGGCTGTTGTATCCCACAAAGATACATCTAATAACTTTCTTATCAAATTTTCTCCGTAAATAATCAGGAACAAACACATAACATACACAACCAAATACTCGAAAGTAGCTAACTTTAGGTTTCATGTTCCATAGTTTCTCAAAAGGTGAAACAAATCCTAACCTTGGTTGAGGAAGTCTGTTGATCACAAAGGCTGCAGTCCTCATTGCTTCAGCCCAAAACCTTCCATGTACGTTCTTTGCATGTAGCATACTTCAACAAATTTCTGCAAGATGCCAATTTTTTCTTTTCGCTACACCATTTTATTGTGGCGTGTTGGCACAAGTGTATTGATGACATATTCAACATTCTCTTTGGTATTGAGAGAACTCATTTGATATATATTCTCCTCCGTTATCTATGCGCAAGAAACATATCTTCTTTCCCACTTCTCCTTCAGCTGAGTCTCTGAACAATTTAAACTTTGAGAATGTGTCAGATTTTTCTTTCATAAAGAAAACCAACACCTGGAGAAGTCATCAATGAATGTTACCATGTACCGCATACTACTAATTAACAGTTGCTTAACCGGTTCGAACACATCAGAGTGAACCAACTCTAACGGTTCTTTTGCTTTAAACTTTAACTCGTCATATGGTAATTAGTGTACTTTACTATACTGGCATCCCACATAGACAGTGTCTGTTCTCACGTCTAGTTGAGGAATCCCCTTAAGCATCGACTTCTTCACCATCACACTTAGCTTGGAATAGCTAACATGACCTAACTCCATTTGTCATAGATCTGATGTCTCATTTTTTTCTTGTCCTGTCAACATATACATACTCTACTGACATCACATAGATTGACTCCAAACGTCGTCCCTCCATTATTGGTGTTTCTTAGATTTTGAGGTCACGATAAACCTTCACGTCTTGGAGACCAAATAAGATATAATGGTCAGATGATGTCAATTGAGCCATAGATAGCAAATTTTTCTTCATTTATGGGACATGGTAAACATTTTGAAGTTGCACCTGGTTAGAATTATATCGAGGCATAACTATCATCTTACCGATGAGAGTTTTTGGTAACCTTGAGTTGTTAGCTGTCACTACCACATGACCTCCATTGTACTCAGACAGATTTTGCAACTTCTGTTTGTCACTTGTCATATGATTTGAGCAGTCCGAATCTATGATCCAATCATTCTTGTAGTCAATCCGTTTTGGTGTTGTTACCATGAGAGCTAATTCTTCTTCCTCCGTAACAAATAACGCTTCAGCATCCCAACCATCTTCACTACTCCTTCGAACTAGAAGTAGCAATATTACATCTTCCCACAGTTGTAACACTGGTCATCGAACTTTCTACTATTAATACGATTTTTGGAAGCTCCCCCTGAATGAGGGGCTCCATTTCCTTGGTAATTTTTCACCTTGTCACCTTTCTTTTTAGATCCACTGCAGGTATACGGCTGAAAAGTGCCTATGATTTTGCTGGTGTAGAGCGCTTCCTCTTCACCCTTTAACAAGACTCCTCCCATTTGCTTGGCCATGGCTTCTTGACCTGCAAGCAAATTTTTGAACTCAACAAGCGATGGTTGTGTCGGCTATCCCTGTACAGCGACAACAAACCCTTGATATTTGGGTCTCAAACCATGGATAATTATTCTTTTTATCATGGCTTCCCCAATAGCAGTTGTTGAATCTAATTCTGAAATTTCATTGCATATCGACTTCACCTTGTGAAAGTATTAGGCAACCGCCATGTCGCTTTGCGCCATCGATAGAAGTTCATTCTCGAGAAGTTACAATTTTGTATAATTCCTCTTCTAAAAGAGTGTAACAAAGGTGTCCCATGCTTTCTTCGGTGATTTAGTATCCCGAATATGCTCCAACATTTCTTCTTTTATTGTGGTCTTTAAAGCAAACATTGTTTTGCCTGCTTTAATTTTCCACTTTCGCAAGACACCGTTAGCATCTTCCGCAACCGGTTGTGTAACTTCACTACCACCGACAACCTCCCACAAGTCTTGACCTTGAAGGTAAGACTCTATACACGTTGACCACGTGTTATAGTTTTGGTTGTTGAGCTTTTTTATTCCTCCAACTACTTGAAGGTCACCCATCATAACGGCAAGACTTTGACTACACCGAACAAGCTTGAGTAACATACGTGCAAAGTACTAAATTACTCTAAACACAAAGAAGCTCCACAAGGTTTGTAATAACTCCGACAATAATCTCAAAAAATATTTTCTGATGTGGAAGATCAGTTAAAACTGCATCTACAGAGCATATTTAGAATTTCAAGAGACCTTATAACATGGCTCTGATACCAATTGTCGAATCAAAATAGAGTAAAAACTCTAATTAATCGAGAAGAAGAAAAACTATTTTTAGAATAATCTCACAAAATTGCAAAAGAGAAAGAACTCTTAAGAAAGCTTTCAAATGCTTATAATTAAGCTTTTATTGTTAGATGATAAAACTCAAATATAAATGGGGTATTTATAGGTTACAAGAACCACTCTAAATCACTCATTAAAATAACCACAAAATAATTTAAATCATTGAAATTAAAAATGAGAAAAATACCTAATATTCACCTAACTAAATTGATGTAAGCAATGACATCTAAATTGATGTAAGCAATGAAATCAAATTAATTTAGGTGTGAACTTATTTAGGCTAATATTGACTTCTCAACACCTATTATATCTAATCTTGTTTTATATATGGCTTATATCACAAATAAGTACCTAAAGTATATCATCTTTTTTCATTTAAGTATCTAAAGTATTTTTTTGTCAAAATAAGTATCTAAACTTATTTTTTGGTCAAAATAGGTACCTAAAGTATTTTTTTAGTCAAAATAGTACCTAAAGTATTCAAATTTTTTTATCTAAATACCTAAAATATTCTTTAATTAATATCGCATGTCAACTTTTTTATAAACTTAGATAAAAAAATTGAATACTCTAAGAATCTATTTTGACCAAAAAGTAAGTTATACTAAGTGTTGGGCGTATTAAATTAGAATCAAAGGTCAAATATTTTTTAGACAAGCCTTTTATATATATATATTTAAAAAAACTACTTCAGATCATATCATTTAATTTTGAGTATTGATTTATTTATATTATCTAACTTTAATTTTTTCCCAAATTTAACACTAACGTAGTTATGTTTTACGTTTAATTATGTCACTATGTCGTTATCGACTTAACGGGCCATTCTCATGATAGTCATTTTGAACCATACCTTGACTTCATCATAGAGTTTCGTCTCCTACATACACAGTTTCCTCAGAATTGAAATAGATTCTGTGAACAAATAATCGCATCATGATCCATTGAACTAATCTTCTCTTCCGATGAATTTGGAGTAATCATATGGAATATCTTCGTTGAAGCTGCATTATGTTGACCATCAAAACTATGTAATTCAAAATAAATGGCATGCACTGTAAATCATTGTTCTAACAGCAGTTACCTAGTACCAAACTCACGGAAGCTAAAATGAAAAACAAAAACCATCAGCAATTGTTGTTTGAATTTGCATTCTCAGTCATCCCGGCCAATTATAGTAGCTTTTATTTCAGAATATGATTTCTTGGCATTGGCATCAAACATACGAATGAAAGTAAAAGGAACTTACGAATGAAGTAAATGAGTGTTACTGTTAAAGCCCAAGTATACAAGAAAACGAATGTAAACAACTTACAGCCAAGGTGACTGTTGCACTCATTGCAAAAAATTAAGTAAAGAAAAAACATAAAGAAATAAGATAAATCAGTATTTAGATGCATCTCCATCTATTAAATGACTCAACTCTAAAATCTCCGTCTATAAATATATTGTTTATATAACTACGATTTGCTATGTCAAATGATTGAAACTGTGATTTGATTTTTAACATAATTTGCTTTGAATAAAATATTTTTTTTGATTGGGTAATCCGAAATATAGGTTTTATTTTGCTATGATCATAATTATATACGAAACGCAAAACTGTCTCAGAACGCATCAAAATATGCTTACTTGAATTAGTTTCCCTGCACAAAATGTTGGCATTGGCCATGTACCAAACTAAAAATGAAAGCTAAAATGAACAACAAATCTAACAATTGTTTTCCTTGTTCATATTGTCAACTCTTTTTCCAAGATTTCATCTACTGGCGATCTTCCTCTCCGGTTTTCTTCCCGGTTTCTTCATTTGTTCCCTCGCTGGTTTCCTCATCGATTCCACCGACGGTTTCCTCATTGGTTCCCTCACCGGTTTCCTCATTAGTTTCCTTAGCAATTTCCTCATGGGTTTCCTCATTGGTTCCCTTGTCGGTTCCCTCCTCGATTTCTTTGTCGGTTTCCTCATTAGTTTCCTTAGCGGTTTCCTCATTGCTTCCCTCGCCGGTTCCCTCGGTAGTTCCCTCGCCGGTTTCCTCGTCAGTTTCCTCGCTAGTTCCATCACCGGTTTCCTCGTTAGTTTCCTCGCTAGTTCCATCACCGGTTCCCTCGTCAGTGTCCTCGCTAGCTCCCTCGCCGGTTTCCTCGTCAGTTTCGTCGCTAGTTCCATCGACAGTTTCCTCGCTAGTTCCCTCGTCGGTTTCCTCGCTAGTTCCACCGCCGGTTTCCTCGCTACTTCCGTCGTCGGTTTCCTCATCAGTTTCCAAGTCGGTTTCAGCATTGATTCCCTGATCGGTTCGCTCACTAGTTCCCTCATTGTCATTGATTCCCTGGATGGTTCCATCACTATAAAGCAACTGGGTTCCATCGTAAACAAAAGTCTTCCTGACAGGCTGGGCAGCAGGTGAGTCAGCAGCATCAAGCATCTGATCTCCATCCCAATACAGCATCCGATCGCTACAAATGCAACCTCCTTTTTCATTCAGAAATCAACTTCTAATTTCGGAATATGATTCCACCACTTGAAAGAGAAACAACTTACGTATAAATAAAACCTTCCCTTCCAATGGATAGGGCGAGGCGGAGGAGGATCATTATCACTAACCACAATCTGAACTCAGTAAGTGAAAAAACACACTCAGATAATATTTGATCAACAGAAAAAGAGAGAGAGAGAGAGAGAAACAGAGGCATAAAAACAACTTACAAATTTCTCTCCAATGTGTTTGTTGCAATCTTTACAACTGACATTTGACTGGCAATTCATGGACTCTCGACCTGTGAATTTCATCGTACTCACGTTGAACTATATCAACCAAGCACAAGATTAATTATACAATGAAATGTAGATTGAGTTCTTCAGTGAACGACAACTAACCAATCGTCGCAAGAATTCCATCCGTCGTGCTTTCCTTTTCCAAAGAAATTAACTTATCCCGAAGAAGACGATCAAGAACCGAAATTGCATTAGTAAAACAAGAATATTATTGGGATATACATACATACTTACATACATATATTAAAAGAGAGAGAGAGTTTATACAACGCCATGAAGTTGTCGGGGTCGAGTACGGGGTTTTGCAACCACTACATAAGAAGTAACGAGTTCCAATACTCAGATGATATGGAGGACCGGAGTTTGGGTTTGAAGGCGACGCCATTGAAACAGCTTTGAGGAAACGATCTTCTTTGATTCTTTTGTTTCAGCTGAGTAGAAGAAAACACCCAAAGTTATATTACAAAGATGAACATTCAGGGTTTCTTGATTCTGACTTCTTACCAGTTCGTATTTTCTGAATGGGATTCAAGCTTCTTTGAAGGAGAAATGGGGATGATGAGCTTCATATAAAAGATGAAGCAGATTGATTCTTTTTTCCGTTATAACTGTCAAGGGATCTGGCGGGAAAACACAGCCTAAATCCAAAATTATGAAAGGTGGTTGTTGGCATCTGGGCCTGCCCAAAGGCGCAAAGCTTGCTCAAACTACCCCTAAATCCAACCCTAAAGCTATAACAGAACTGCTTGAAATCGAACTCACCTCCCAATTATTCGAATTCAAAATTTGAAAATAACATTCCTTTATTATTAACATCTTTCAGAAGTTACAGTATGCAATATCTCTAATCTAGGACTGAATGGGGGTAGATAAGAAAATTAAAATACAGCGTCTAATGTTCGATAAAACAAAAACAGCATCCAATGAATTAAGGCTTCATTGACATATTAATTAATAATTCAAATTCAAATATTAAAAATTATATGTAAAGTATTAATTGTGGCCGTGAGATCATAAAGTAAATTAAGGCATGTGCCTCTCGCATCATTCTTTAACAGGTGGCCGCCTTGCCACCCCATACGAACCCACTTTGTCTTCATTCTCGAATTTATTTTTTTCTTTTATTTTTTTCTCTATTTTAATTTATTTTTTCACTTTCTATTCCTAATGTTTTGACGTTTTACCTAACTACAGCTCCTGGTTTAGAAACAATTTGATCTCATAATTATGTAAATAAAATATGATTACTATTTCTCTTTTTAATAAAATGATTGAGATAAATTGTTAGTGACCCTCAACTTGCATTCTAACCATTGGCCCTTTCCGAATATTAATTTTTAATGGTGTTTGGTACACTTATCTTTTCAATTTGTAGATTTTTATTTGTCTTTCCTTTCAAAATATTAATTTCTTTTCATTTCGGGTAGATATATATGTTTGTGTATCAATGTGTTTTGCCTAAATTCAATTCTCCATTTTTGATGTTGATGAATATTAGGAAGGATGTCATTCATATTAAAATTCATTACTTTTCTCATTTAAGAAAACCAATGCATAGATATTAGATAAATTTTTCTATATTGGTCATACGCACAAAAATCTTAAAATTGTATCCTTAGAAAATTCATATGTGATACTTCAATTTAGTAAGTATTAGGTCAAACTCTGTTTGAGTGTCGAGATAACCAAAAAAAAAAAGTTATAGCTATAATAGTTGTCAACTCCTTATAAGTAGAAGAATAAGACATATTATGGGTTATATATGTGTTACAAGCTTATGATCATTATACTTCATCGAATTCTTTTATTTCATCTATTAAAACGAAAAGAACCTAAACCAAAAATATATAGAATTGACGGTATATTTATATAAAACTTTTACCACATACACATAAGGAATCATTGTTATTATGCTAGGCATTTATATAAAAAAATAGATTTTTGACGAAATGAAAAAGATATTATATGATCTAACCATATCAAGAATAAGATTGTAATTGAAATGAATCATTACTTGAATGAGAGCTTGATTCTACTAAAAATATAATCAAGAAGACTCGAGCCGTTGAAAGATAGTTAGAGACTTTTCTCATGAAAATGTTCAAATTATTTAATAATTTGTAAATATTTAAAAAAATTATTTTTAAATAATTTATAATTATTATTTTATTGATCCTAATGTTTTGGAATTTTACATTTTAGATTTTTTAAAAATAAATATTTAGTAATATTTAATATTCGAACATTTTTTTATCTTTTAGTATTTTAAATTTATTTTTTTCTTAATATTGATAAGTGTTTGAATTTTCTAAAAGAATCAATTAAGTTATTGAACTTTCTAATTAAAAAAATTTCATCCGTAATTATTGGTACATTTTAATACAAGTAGTAAAATAATCCATGAACATATCTAGAAGATATAAGATCTAGTTTGAATCATTCACACGAGTTTTAGTTAGTTAACTAAGTTGGATATCTTTAATTATTAAAATTGTTGATAAGATATTTTAAACTCATCTTTAGGATCAAGGATAAAAACAACATAGCGATTCCACTGTACCACTGGGACTTCCGATGGACCAAGGAAGCCGATCTCAGGCCGTTAGAACCTGGAGTAATCCAGACGTGAGATGGTGGCTGATCCCCAGAAAGAAGCACTCCTTCCTATGCCTTGATACTTTTGGTAAACTGTGGGATACCTATATCATGAATCAGAAGAGGAAGAGAGGACATCAATCTACTGATGATGATTTTATAACCGGAACTCGTGGTGCCATCTCGACCATCCAATTCTCTGAGCAGGCCTATAGACTTATGAGGCCAGTATGGAGGAAACTGTTGGGCAATAATATTAGATTGCACGCGCTTTCAATTAAGCCTGCACAATTTTGAACCATCCTAATCATTTACCCTTATGGATTTGGAAACAATATTTCCTCGCTAATTCCAAAATATTGATGACTTCGAGAAAGTTTGGCTGAGGTCCATGGATCACTATGGGCATTATCTAACTGTCCAACCCTGGACAAGGAGCTTTAGCACATCAGAAGCATATTCTACCAGCATTATGGTGTGATTCATTTCCAGATTTGCCTGAATACATGTTTAAAAAGAAAATATTAATTAGCATTGGAATCTCGTTGGCATGGTTGCTAATTGTACATGCGGAAAGATGCAAGTAACAGGCGACGGTTCGTGAGAGTGATAATTTTATTGACCTTAAACAACTGCTATCTCACGAATCATAATGAGATACAAAGTTCAGGCAGTGGTTTATGAGAATCATCCTCTCATATGCTTCTTTAGGAGGAGATTCCGTCACTTGAAAGAGGTATGCACGTTCGTTAGTACGACTACAAAAAAAGAACCAAAACATGAACGACCTTGGTCAATCCCAAGCCCATTATTGCCAATAAAACCTCAAATTCTGTCAATAAGACGAGATCCAATGAACTGGAGAAGAGTCCAGTCTGAAAATAATCTCTATGGACCCTGGATGATGGTCGAACGGCGACGCTGTCAAACCCCAACCGGAAATGGTAACTATAAAAATTCTATTTCTAAGGAAATCAAATGACACGGTTACAATTTGTTGCCTTAATTGCGGATGAGAACAAGTATGAAATGAATGCCCAAATCACAGGGCCAATGATGGAATTGGTGAGCAGTTTCCATAGTGAATAAAGGTTCCAATCGGGATTAAAGGATACAAATAAAGGAAGTAATAAATGATCGGATTTCTCTCAGAATAAAAGCTCAATTCTAAGAAATAAATCCCAACCAAGGTAGGACCTGCTACTCAACGATTAGTGCCAATTATTATTGAAACTAACTTGGTTTCTAGTATACGTCCTCCCATAACCAGCAAGCTAAGCACGATCTTTCATCCATGCACAACTCGTCATACACAGCCCAAAATATGAAGGAGAAGAGAACACCTTACGCGATTAGAGCAAGAACCTCAAAGTTAAGTCTAGCTCTGGCTATAATGTTCCTCTGCATGAAATGATGAAGGGTGTTAGAATAATATTTAAAACTAACTTTATCTTCAGTTTCCCTGAGGCGAATCAAGTTGGCAAAGCTATCGTACAATAGAGGTAATTTCTTTCCTTTTAAGTTTTTTTATTGATTTTACAATACTAACTTTGAACTGTCAAGCTGTGGTAGGATCAAATTGCTAAAACTTCTTAAGAATATAGTCAGGACCATAAAATAGATGATCGCGTTACTCGAACCTCATATCTGGTTGTAATACGGACAAAGTTGTCTGTAAACTTGTCTTTGAGCAGTCTTTCATGTTAGGAAATAAACCGAGTACGAGTAATTTCCCTATAACCAGATTAGTGAGAATGCGAAATAAAAGCGGAAAAATAATACCCGAAATTGATAACGGAGTTCAGCCAATTGTGCTTAAGAGAGAACTAGAAGATTTTGGGGTGATTTTGAAGCTAAATGAACTAGGGTATTTATAGTTAAAATTTAGGGACTAATCTTTGAAAATACCCTAAAGTGCAATGACTAAAATGTAATTAGTCATTACTTAAATTCAAAATCCTTGCCAAACTTTGACAAAATGGTAGCAGTCGGCTGCTACCACGTTTCTTGACTCAGTTTTCAACAATCTCCCACTTGAAGACTGATTTTAATCTGTCTTCACACCTCGATCAATGCAACAGCTTTTCTAGTCTTGTTACTCTAGCATGCCAACTGAAGTTGAACACAACTTCAGTTTGTCTGTGGTCACCATCTTTGTCAACATGTCTGCGGATTTTGAGCTCCACTAATCTTTTCAAGTTTCAAAATCTCATCTTCCAGAAGAGACCGGATAAAATGATATCGCAATTGTATGTGCTTCGTCCTGGAATGAAAAGACGATTCTTCGCTAGATGGATAGCACTTTGACTGTCGCAATACAAGACATTGTTTTCTTGTTTCTTGCCTAACTCTTCCAAGAAACTTTGGAGCCAAACCATCTCCTGCTAGCTTCCGTAACAGCGACATATTCTGCTTCAGTTGTGGAGAGAGCAACTATCTTCTGTAGTTGAGAAACCCAACTCACTGCGGTTCCTCCTAGAGTATAGACATACCCTGTAGTGCTTTTCTGATGTCGACATATCCAGCTAAGTCAGCATACATAGCCTGTCAATATCGTATCTCCACCTTTGAAACAAAGCTTTGTTTGTGGTACCCCAGATATCTGAAGATCCATTTGACTGCTTCCAGTGTATCTTGCCCGGATTATTCATGTACCTGCTAACAGCTCCCACTGCATGAGCAATATCTGGTCTGGTACAAACCATGGCATACATCAGACTTCCAATTGCTGAGGCATACGGCACCTTCATCATGTGTGCACGTTCTTCCTCCGTCTTTGGTGACTGTTCT